GGAAAATTTAGGAATTACAGAATGTGAACAGAGACAAATGTGAAGCTAGATATTAGGGACTTAGAAGATATTAGAAGATATTAGCTAGATATTAGGAATTAGAGAATTGAAGAATGGGAGAATTGGAGAATTGAAAAATGGAAGAATTAAAGAATTGAAGAATTGAGGAATTGAAGAATCAAAGAATCGAAGAATTGAAGAATTGAAGAATTGAAGATTTGACGAATTGAAGAACTGAAAAACTGAAAAATCGAAAACTTGAGAGATTGGAAACTTGAAAAATTGGAACCTTGAAAGATTGAAAACTTGAAAAATTGAAAACTGGAAAGATTGGAAATTTGAAAAATTCGAGCAGAAAAATTGAAGAATTGAAAAATTGGGAACTTGACAAATTGAAAACTTGAGAGATTGGAAACTTGAAAAATTGGAAACTAGAAAAATTGGAAACTAGAAAAATTGAAAACTTGAAAAATTGGGAACTTGAATAATTGGACACTTGAAAAATTGGAACCTTGAAAGATTGAAAACTTCAAAGACTGGAAACTTAAAAAATTGAAAACTTGAAAAATTGGAAACTAGAAAAATTGGAAACTAGAAAAATAGAAAACTTGAAAAATTGGAACCTCGAAAGACTGAAAACTTGAGAGATTGGAAACTAGAAAAATTGAAAACTTGAAAAATTGGGAACTTGAAAAATTGGAACCTTGAAAGATTGGAAACATGAAAGACTGGAAACTTGAAAGATTGAAGACTTGAAGAATTGGAAACTTGAAAAATTGGAAACTAGAAAAATTGAAAACTAAAAAAATTGAAAATTTGAAAAATTGAACAGTTCAAAAATTCAAGAATTCAAAAATGCAGGACTGCAAAAATGAATGAATTCAAAAACTATCTCCCGAAATCGAAGGCAAATATCAAGAATCTCCACCTTCTGCACGCGTTCCTTAAAGTCTACGTGACACTCGTATATCTTCGTACGTCCGCAACTACCAGTCGTAAAAATGGGATTACTCGTTTTTTCCCCGCAGTTATTTTACATCGTTGAGAAACCTATTTAACTACGCTCAAATAAATTTTGCAATTTTCGCGTGCATTTCAATTTTCAAGGACCGGCCACGTACACACGCTTTTTGTACCAACGTCGATCAATGCATTCCATTATAAATGCGAACAAAAGAATTGTTGCGCACGGGAGTAAATTGAAATACCGTCACTGGTGCATCATATTCGAATTTCAATTTCGTTTTTCTCGTTTATCATTCCCATTTTTTTCTTGTTTGTGATTGGCACATAGTTATTAAAGCCGCAATGATATTAGATTAACCGATCGATCGAAATCGATCGACTGCCGTCGCTGATAAAACAATGAGAACGTACTCTCTTTATCTCTGCTCGAGGTTCATTTGCACGGTCCTGAGTTCATTTGCCAGCGAAACTAATTTCTACGAAGCTCGTTCGGAATTTTGTACGAGACGATTGTTAGGCTGCACGAATTATTAATAGGGTTTGTGTTTTATGGGCTACCGTTACCGAGGACCGAACGCCATCATTTATCTGCTACTCTTCAGTCAAAATAGGATACACATTTGTTTCCAATTTTGCGGATCAACTTTCTAAGTTTCTACAAAACGAATTTATCAAACTCCTATGGTTTCACACTGGAAAATTAGTAAATTTCTAAACTGCTACATTTTCAAACAGCTCGATGCAATCAGTAGCCAGTACAGCAGTAGTATAAGTACAACAATGAAGTACCAGAATAGTAAAACAAGTGTCAATGATGTTGCGAAATAGTGAAGTAATATAACAGTAAAGTAACGTAGTGAAGTACAGAAATAATCGAACAACGCAACACTCGTGTAAAAACAATGCTCTTTTAAAAGTCACACCGTTACATAAAAGAAGAAATCGTTAGTTACGATTAAAAGCTTGTAAATTCCACGATGAAATTAAACGCGATCCCATCATTTTGACTGTGACTATACGTCTCTCCTGTCGTTCCTTTTCTCGGTCCATCCTCCTCTTTTCACTTTGAAATTTTCATCCCATATAAGCTACCGGGAACATACCTACGCTCCTCGAGTACGAAACTCTCGTTAGAGAGGTCGACGAATTGATCAGAGCTCTGAAACGGAACGGAGTTATGAACCGATCGAGGATCTCCCTCGTCCTTATTATTTATTCAGTAACGTCACATACACGTACAAACACATACACATGTATACATACATATATACATATATATATGTAGGTTGGCTAGGCTTGAATATTTTATAGAAACCATTGGCAGTGTCTGCGCTACCCCACACCATGACACCAATAGATGCGCGTTGACGATCGCTGGAAATCGTAAAATCGATGAGAAACCGACGTCGAAGGAGAGCCTTTTACCGGATTGGCGAAACCACGATCGTCCGCTGAAAGGAAAACTATTCTGGCGTGGTTGCAACATGGATTTCTTTGGTCTGCCGTGACCCATCGAATCACCCTTCTTAATTAACGAACGATTTTTAGCGTCCGAAGGAAATGAAAGGATCTGCCCGTCTCCCAAGACGGACATTATAAAATCGATGGAAGTTTCATCAAAAGGACCGACTTCCTCAGTTTTGTTTAATTCTATAGCGCTGGCCATTCAGCGCACCCTTTAAATCAGGAGATCGCCGATCAGAAGGCTTCGTCTCGTAATTAACTTGAAAGGAAACGCGGTTCACGACCGGTGCCACCGATTAAAATGTTTCGCTCGTTAGTTTATTAGAAATGAAAATCGCCTTAAATTCTCTTCTCGATTTTACGTGTGATTTTGAAGTAGCCTATCGATAAGTGTATGGCGTTCAGGCTGATAGGATTCTTTAGGATCAGTGGTACAGAATGGTGTGGGAAATTATCATAAATCAGACTGTCTTATGGAAAAAAAGGCGACACAACGAAAGGAGAAATTCCTTCAATATTTTAGAAAATTTCTAAAAAAAAAATCCTTCAATTTTTTAGAAATTTTCTAAAATATTGAAACATTCGAGCTTCCAAATTTTCAATTTCCAACATTCAAAAACAGCCATAAATTATAAATTAAAAGTTGTAGATTAAACAGTTTGAAAGTTCAATCCTTCTTCAAATTCAAAAACCTTCTCCAAGTTCATTCGAATGTTCTAAGTTTCCGAAGTTCGAAATCTTCAAAAATTCGAAAATCGCACTTCGGAAGGCAGTAGTTTTTCACGATCGACGATCATGATTCGTGATTCGTATTTTAAAAGAAAGGCGATGGTTGAATACAAAATATCGCTTTAGTAAATTTTTTACTAGCTTTTTATATTTCAACATTTAACCCAACCCATCAAATATCAACTCCGTATCCCCTGGTCGGGACGGAAAGTTTTAAAATCACTGCTCTCGTGATTCATGTATATTACACCACAGCTCACTTTCCTTTAATTTGATTTCCACGAAGACCAAGAGAAGAAAGCTTAGCGTGGTCAGTATCCGACGACCCTCCCCTAAATCATTTTCGGTCCACGAAATCCGAGCAACCCCGAAGAAACGCACGTTAACTCGCGTGCGATTTAAAATTCCTTGAAGGAGATCTCCCCGATTTCCTTCAATCTCCCATCGTCCCGTTCCATCCATCATCATTATCCGTCGTCCCACGAAATCCTCGTTAGAACGTCAAACACCGTTAGCCTCCTGTAGAAGCCCTGAAAACCAATGGTCGTTTCCCGCCTCGAATTCATCCCGAAAGATTTTCAATCGGTGCCGACATTCCATCATTCTCGAGCGCATCCCTCGGAACGTTCTGCAGGTGTGGACATCGGCTACGAGTAAAACGGTTACTCCTCTCCTCCAACCTCATTGTTCCATTCTTCACCCTTCCCTTGTCCCTCCAACCAGCAACCGTTCCTCATCGTCCTCCCTGTCTAACCCTCGGGTTCGCTTCTCTCGTTCGCGGAGTAGCCCTCCCCTTTCCTCCCTTTCTCGCATCGAAAGTGGACACATGCTTGGCCCTAGTCACCGTCCCTACGAATTCCAGGGATCAATGCGTCGGTGCACCAAAACGCCTGCGCCACCCCCTTCAACCCCACCACACCCACACCGCTTAGCCGAGCAGCAGCACCAGCAGCAGCAGCAGCAGCAGCAGCATCAACACCAGCACCAGCAGCGACAATAGTGACGACGACGACGGTGGTGGCGGTGACGGTGGTGGCGATGTCACGAACAACCCCACCAACACACCCTCGACGACTCCGTCCATGCGAGTCCTAAAGCACCTACACTCGAGGCTGGTTATCAGAGTGCTGGTGGTGCATAACCGGCTGGTGGTGCCGCCGGTGTTCTCCTGCTAGCAGCGCCGAGAATCCGCTTCTCCTTCTACGCTTAGAACCCTCCTCCGCCTTTCGTCCCGCCACGGACGCGGATATCCCACGTCCCTTTTACTCCCTCCTCGGGAACGACCGCTTCCACGACGATACGAAGAGGGCGCTCCCCTCTCTCTGGATGTGCGCGGTACCCGAGCCTCGGAAATTCTGAAAGCGTTTCGCGCCTGTGCAACTCGCGCGGGGGGTGGCAAGGGACCGAAAATCGAGGTGAAAAGGAAACTCCGCGGATCCGGCCTAAGGGTCTCTCCTAGGGCTGGTGCGTATCGGTTCTAGCGATTTCGGCGTGTTCCAAAACGAAAGTACTAGCCTAACGATTCGGCCGCCCAGGCTATCCCGTTTTTTTCACGACCACCCGCCGCGATTACGCGCGTGTGCGTGTTCGTGTACGCGTAAACACACGGTGACGTGCCGCGAGACCTAGGTGTACAGTGTGACGGACACGTCGGATTTACATATCGTCGACGAGGATCTCCCAACGGGAACGACCGAAGGGAGAAGAGAGGACACTTACGCGAGACGTCCCGATAACGGACGACTACACGGGACTCCCGTTCGATCGTGGTGCTGGTGGTGGTTTCTTCCTTCGTGTGACACACTTTTGTCGCGAGAGAAGAGAATCTCTCCCTCTCTCTCTTTCCGTGGCTGATCTGACAGAGAAGCGGACTGATATATCAGTCCTGTGTGCGTACGACTGCGAAAATCGCTAGTGAGAGTTTGCTGTGTATCGTGAGAGTGAACAGTGAACGAGAGAGTTGCCTCTCTGGTGTTTGACTGAGTCGAGAAAAAGAGACTGTCTCGTTCCAGTGAATTCCGCTGCCACCTAGTCTGGATTTTCGATTAAAGACCACCGTGGATCGTGAGTCCGAGATACGGGGGTATCATGTATCCCCGATTGCAGCCCTCCTTTGAGGGTTGAATCGACGATTCGACCCGTCGGCTTAACTGTGGTGCATCCTAGACGAGACGGTGTGTAATCGTACCCTGGAACTACGTCGAACTTGCCTTCCTTCAGGACCACCGATCCCGACACGAGAGCTGGTCCCACGGTGGACTAACCGTGTACCACATCCCCGCGCTGAAAGTGAGTCTTAATGCTCTGATACTTCCTCGCCCAGCTTAAGCCGAATCTACATCTTTTCGCTTTGGATCATTCGTACAGAACTTGGATTTATACCGATTCACTGGATTCTGATACTCTCCTACACACTTGTATTTCTCGCAGCATTCGTGTGTGAGAAATCAGTGCTGAATGAATCATCCCGTTCATCAAATGCAAGAATTAGATCTACTCTGTTCATTGCTGACTTCGATCGCTTCGGATGTGGAGGAAAGTCGGTTTGAATCATTAACGATGATCACGAACTGTAAGAGGTATAAGGATTTACCTACTCTTCGTACAAATCGGTGAATGAACCAGTTGCTGCTTTTGATGAATTGATTGGATGATTCATGGTGGTGAAGTTGCAGAACAAGTCTGAACTTCACACAATTCACTGTTTTAATCTCTATTCTGAAAATTAGTGAAATTCTGAATTGGTAATAGCTTCCATGTTTCACTGTGCAGATCCAAAGCGTGAAGTTTATGTTCGCCTTTAGCTTCATTTCTGTTCATTAGTGACTTTAATCCCTCAAATTAAATGTGGATGAACTGTGTTCTTTGCTCAGTACACGATCATCCAAAGTGTACTTTGCCTTTAACTTTTTCTGTTTAGTAACTGGATGATCAATTCGGATGAAATGTGGAAAACCGTGTTGTTCTTTCAAATTCTTTCGAATTTTGAAGTTTATATTTGAATTTAGTTCTATCATGTTCACCAGTGATTTAGAATAATCCATTTTTATAGAACGTGAAGGAGAACAGTGTTTTTTATTGAACCACGATGGTCTTAAGTGTGAAGTCCACATTTAGCTCTACTTCATTAGTGATATGATCTTAAGATGAAATATGGATGAAAGCACTGTTTTCTTTAATCCACAATGTTCATCTCAAGAGTGACATTTTAGCTCTACATCAGTGGATTTATCTTTTAAGATGAAATATAGAAACACTGTTTTGCTCGAACACGATATTCATCTGAAGGGTGTCCACACTGAGGACAGTGTTTTTATTGAATCGTCTACAATCTTCACTATGAAGTCCACATTATTTATCTCTGTTCATCAGTGAATTATTTAAGATGAAACATAGAAACACTGTTTTTGCTAGAGTGTCCACTTCAAGGGTGTCCAATGTGAACGAGGACAGTGTTTTTATTGAATCATCCACAACCTTCAGTATGAAGTCCACATTATTTACCTCTGTCGACTCCCAAAAAATTATAAATAACGTTTAAGCTTTATTTGCATGAGCAGTCTCAATGAATCTCAACATCCTTGTCTCGCGGATCACATTTCGTATTCAGTACAGCAATTAGTACCCGTTTTAACAAAGTGCATTATTTAATGACTCGACGAACCACGTTCGCGTATCGACATTTAATTGAACAGTTAGATACACGTACATTTCTCGTGAATAAGTTTACAGCTCTTCAGATTGGAAAGACGGGATCCAATTTATTCGTCTCGCGTCACATTGTCGCGATCAAAATCATAGTTGAACCGTGTCGACTAGTCTGCAACGAACTCCATCAACAAAGAAACCTTATTTCGTGTGCTGGTAAAATGATAATGCGTTTATCTGTACTGTAAGGCGCCGCTATTTTTCCACTTAATTATCCAATGGCGATTGAAACCATAGAATCGTGACCTTGCCTCTATTGTGGCAATAAATCACCGGTTACGAGACGATTGAGACACGAGACTTAACAGGGACAAACTACTGACTCGTTCTGGAAGGCTTGGATTAGTTCTGCGACACGGTATGGTCAGGCGTAAAGTGATTTAGGATACCGTTTCTTTCTCAAAGATTTTCGAACCAAATGTTAAAAAACTCGTGAACTCCACATTCGACATAATTTTTTTTAAATTCTACAAATTACAATTTTTTATCGTAACACGTACGTTTAAACTGAAGAATATACGGTGTTGATGATTTATAAAGGGTATGATTTATGCGACGTTCCGACCCATATGTGGGCCATCTGTTAACTCCGTTTTTTGACGTTTAATTAATTAAAAAAGCACGAATATATAAAATTGATTTTGTGTTTATTGTTTACCTCTCGTTACATTCGGTTGCAAATGTACTATGGATTTTGTACATTTCACCAGAAAGAAATAAATGGGAAATTTAATAATAAAATTATTGGAAAAATGTCACTTTTTGTGATTACAATTTTCTGTCTTGTCAAAATGTTGTAAGATTTATGTTACGTTTGAAATAAATTTTTGGGAGAATATTTCTTTTTATCGTTGCAATTCAGAAATAATCTGAAAAATTCTTGGTTTAATAATTTATGGGAGAAATATTGAATATTTCTTTGTCATCACGAAATTCAATTAGCAAATTATAATGCCATTAAAAATGATTCAATTACAGAGAATTCGACGTATCGATAAATTATAAAATTACAAAATCGGATATTGGTATGCCTTTGAAATTCTTAATCCTCTCATTTTCATACTCCGTTTGGTCGAAAATTATTAAAAAAGAGGAGTTATTTACAGCGTCGGTAAGCTCGTGAAAGCGGAGGGTAGAATTTTTGAAGACAAAGTTAACGCAGGCAATTAATTTGAAGCGGAGCCGTTTGAAATTTTTACGAGGAGAACTCTCGAAATGAAACAAGGTCCAACGACGTGCAAATTTCCCTTCTAATGAACTTTCCACGGCCGCGCAACATATTCATTTCACACGCGCGAATTACACGTAATTTTCCGGGGGGATGCAAATGGCCGCGAATCGTCGAATATCCATTTGCGATTCAACTTGCCAGACAGCGGACGTCCATTGAATTCGTTGTCTCCTGGCTTTCGCCTCTGAGGTTATTCAACAATTCGTTATTTATGCAAATCCCGTTGAACCTTCAGAAGGTTGGACAAAAAGAATTTCGTTAGAGGCACAAAGGCATCGAGAAAATTGATGTACCGCTCCAGAGAACCGGCTGCATCAGAAAGTACAATCTTGTGTTCGGCCAACTAATTCAATGTTCCGTCTTTTGTTGCGGGAAAATCGAATTTTCCACTATTTTTTTTTTTAGTTCTTTTGCTTACACGGATACTTGTCCTTGCGAACGTTACGATGGTATCGGGCAAAAGTTTTCTCGTGAAACACTCTCATTAATCATCCATCGGATCGATGAAAGAAAAAAAAAGAATATCTTTCGTGTAATATTTCAATCCAGTCGTTAACCGAGTTAAAGTCGCGCTATTTTTACGTCGAAGGATGCTACGGAGCGGCAACAAGAAGCGTAAACAGATCAAAAAATAAATAGAGAAAAAAAGAAGGTCTTGACCGATCGATAGAACGTTTAACCTATTTAACGCAATTAATCGCATTACGGAAAATGAATCTTTAACGACTTGTACCGCTGCAAAACAGATGGCAAATTGCTGGCTCGAAATCAAGATGGTGAAATGCGAGAAAGTTTGATGTTTCGTTTTTGCGTGTTATGACATCGATTTCTCTACGTTGGATGTTTGATCTCGTATCTCTGTTATAACACGTAAGCTATTATATTTAAGTTTAAACTAAACTATAACAATAAATAGATAATACATAAAGCTTACACAATAATTCTTTATCTTAATGCACATACATTCTATCTTGTTTAACATACATTTTGACGCAAGATTAATAATTTTCATAATTGGAAATGAATACTCTAGGATCCGCCATTTTGATGAACTCCGTAAATGCTACTTCAGAAGTATTTATCATTATTTGATTCTAACTACACATCCTATGAGAGATTTATGAGTAGGTATCTGTCTAACATGATCATATGTGACCATATGTGACGAACGCAGCAATTCAGGTAAATTAATTATTTACAGAAAGTGCAACTCTTAAGAGACTTATCGTTGACAATGACATTCCCTAACGCAGTGAAAGATTAAGTACCCTTGTTCTTAATAATGTATTATAGTCTGTCTGTGCATAAACGTCACATTTCACTGAGACCTTCATATGTGGCCTGCAAGGTAAATTAATTATTAGGAAAAGCAAAGTTTGAGGGTTGTTAATGTTGACAATGACATTCAAGTGAAACTGAAGGAAAACGAACTCATTAGCATCCCCTGAATCTCTCCCTTGCAACAGATATTAAATAAAATAATCTAGTTTCAAAAATTTTGTCTGAAAGTCACCTAACTTATAAAGCAATCCTTGTAAAGGATTTTAACGTATTTGTTTGATAAAAAATTGTAAAGGTTAAAAGATTCAAATTGCGTTGTTTGAAAACAATTATACTGGAAACGTTCGATCGTAGGATGGTCGGCTCAAGGCCGTCGTAAATTCACACCCTACGAGCTGACAAACCTTTCTTCCCGGCATGCGACATGCCATTGATCATGGTGGATAGAGGTAACTCGCGTGGCCGAGGGGTTCGACGTAGTTACGTTAATTTCTACGAGGTGTCCCAGTTTTCCACGAGTTGGCCTCAGTTGCGTTCCCCGGTCAATGCCTGTCGGGGAAAATTACGAACGACGTACTGTTGACAAGCGATCCTTCTTTTTGTTATTCCACCCCTTTTTTTACACCCTCTGCTTGCCGCCATCGTCTTTCCTCTGTCGCGCCCTCTTCTATACCCGGTGTCCCATAAAACTAGCAAGAACCGACTCTAATAAGTCGATAATGGGTTGCTAAATTTTTGGGAAATTTTGAGACAGATTTTTTAGAAACTTTGAGAAAGATTTTCTACAAACTTTGAGTGAGATTGAACATTTTCTTAAGAGTCTGTAGGAAATTCGTTTGTGGTGGATGTAGAAGTTGAGACGAATCTTTTGTTACATTTTTTGGTGGAATTTCGTGATTCAGTAATACCTGGTGGTTCACACTTGAAAGTCTGAAAACTTCTACATTAAAAATTTTTTAAATTTGATCGTCTAAAAACGTTCATATCTCAAATTTGAAGAACTGGAAAATTAAATATTCTCACTATTTCAAAGTACCATCATAAAAATGAATACTACATTTTCCCTAAG